TAAGGTGGTGGAGAACTTGGAGAGGGGAATTAACAGGAGATAACTAATAACCGACATCCATTAGACATGGCACATGAAACAAGAACAGTCTACCCTAGCGAATGAAATAAAGGGTTCAGTTTGACATTCCAACCACCTGAAGAAGGCCGGAGCATACAATGGCTAAAACGTTGTGATAAATATGGCAACAAACATGAGGACAATAGTCCGAATAATGTAAATAGTGTACAACTGACAAAGTACTGCAATTAAGCTTTTTATTTAATTTTTCTTGTGTTCATACAAGTGATTTCTCTTCTGGGCACAAAGTGTGTAAAAACTGTCCAAATTTTCTACATTTCTGAGTGCTTTTAACTATACTTTCAGTCATTATCAAGGATGATTTTTATTTTTAACTGAATTGTGGGTTTTTTTTATGTAGGTGTCTTAAGTAATAGGAATGTTTTATTTTCCAAACACGGTCAGCACAGTGTGGCCCTGTTCATAGTTCATGTTATTGAGTATTGCCTTTTCCTTTTTTATTATTATTTTTCATCATTTCTTACAAGAAAAATTATATAAAATGTTTAATTGCAGTCTCTTGTCAGTTGTCTTTAAATAAAACATATAAAAGAGGAATTGCTTGTAAAATACACAATTGTCATACACATATATGTGTGTGTGTGTGTGTTTTAAGTTTACTGAAATGATGTTCAAGAAAATCAATGTTTCTGATGGCATCACTGACCTGGCTGAATCAATTCAGTATCAACAGATTTATTTAAACTGACATTTCCATTCTGTAAAATTTTATCTCAATCCTCAAACTCATAGATTCCTGATATATAATATTTACTAAGCACTCAGCTAAAAATAAATAAATCAAACTACTTTTTCCAGTAAATTTATTTGTACATTTTGATAACAATATCTCTGTTATGTTATTAAAAACATAATCATATTCTAGCACTTTGTCCTTTTATACTTTTCTCATGAGTGGTGTATTAAATTTATGATATTCATTTATCAATGTATCAGAAGCACTTTATCTATTCTCAATATATTGTTCAGAATTTTTTTTCTCTGCTGTAACTATACAAATATTTTAGTGCAAAGTAATATTCATTTGTTTTACTTTTAGAAGTGTTGCTTGAAAATGGAAATAAAGCTACCTTGGATACAACTATCAATAGTAGAAAGTAGTTTTTGTCATTACAATATTTTCAGATAGCAGAGGTTATTACCAAAGAAGGATAAACAAAGAATTATAATATTTTGTTTCTTCTTCATCTATGAGCTTTATCTCTTCAGTACCTGGCCGATCATGACTCTCCACAATTTCCTATCTTTTGTGGCTCTTAGCAATTTTTCTCCCTTTGCTAAATTTACCACCTGCCTTGACTTTATTATACCATTTGAATGTTAGGTTTTCCAAGCCTTCCTTCCTCATTATGCGTCCAGGAAATTTCAGCTTTCTCATCTTGATTCTGATTGGTTTGGTTTGGTATGTTTTATGGCATATCAACCTCAATGAATTAATTAATGCCGACAAGATTTTTATTGCTGGTAATATTTTTTTCCAAAAATGTATTCCTGGTAATAATTTTTTACAAAAATATATTACTAGTATTTAAACCTATTTTTACACTTTCATAGTGTTTTGATGCCAGTTTGGGGGTTAACTATTTCCCCATAGCTAGGACCCTAACAGGTGCTACCATATCGAATCAGAGTGGACCTGGAAACACAGCAATTAAGAGGTGATTCTATACTCCTTAAAACCTCCCAATCAAAAACCTTGGTGTTGGATGTAGTTTATTGTCTTACCCAGGATATGGATGAAGTTTATCATCTTACCCAGGATGTGTATATGGTTTATTGCCTTACTCAAGATGGCCTGATTCTGATTAGATTTTTCTTTTTGTGGCTGATTAAAATCTTATTAATCATTAATTATTCATCCTTAATTTTTAATTGCTTCAGTCAAGTATATAATCACAAGCATATTATCCAAATTTTATTTAAGGGTTTATTTTAGAATTATATCCTATCTTTATTGTTTTTATTTTGATTAGCCATAGATTCCAATGAGAACAAACCTACCAAAATGATTTGTTGAAGAAAACGGTTTAAATAATCCATTTCTAGAAAAACTAATGTGTATTGAAACATACATGTATTTGTAGCACTTTCTTTTTTAAATCATTTCACTCCAAAGGCAATAAAGTCACTAAGATGCAAGGGGGTACTGAGTGTGAAAGTATATAAAAAAAAGAAAAACATCATTAAGACAAAAGATAATGATTGACGCTGCATTAGATCTTTGAAAATCAAATATAATATTTTCTTTAACATTGAACAAAAAATTTTGGGAACTTTTGCATTAAACTAATGCTTGACAATTATAAACTTTTTTTTGGCTTACAACAATGTTCATCCAGTACAAAGCCCAAAAGTCACTCAAGGTAGAGGGTTACAGAGTAAGAGGCACAATTTATGGGGATATGTGAGTAGGATAACAGTTAACCCTAGACTTGAACAGGTTAAGATTGTAGTAATCAGAGAAGCATCCTCTTGGAAATAGGTTTCACAAAGCAGTACTTCCTGGGAAGAAGCTGCTGAAGTGAAACTTACATCTCACCAATGGAATACAAAATGAACAAGTATTTTTCATTACAATATGTGTGGCATGGTGGGTCATAGCTATGAAGGTTAGAAAAGGTGGAACTAAGGAATGTAGTTTTTCACGACACTTTCTATGGCAATAAAACAATAGAGCAGCAAGTGGCTTGCAATGTTTCACCTGTGAGAATGGGTTAGGTGAGGAAATAATCCATCACCAACAAGGTCAAAGTGATGCATTATCAAGAATTGAAAGTGAAGACTGGGCAGCTCCTGCCAATATAAGACAGCAGTATTCCATTTTCAGCCTGATCTGGCTCTTGTAAATGTAGAAGATAGCAGGAGGAGACAGGTATTTATGGGAGTGGCACAGGGAACCAACCATTTTTCCAACATCTTTAGCAATGGATCAGATATATGAGTTCCACTTGAGGTCTGGGGTGAACTTGTTCCAAATGGTGCTCAAGACATCTGTTCAATAGTTTATTCAATATTACTGAGTAGAACTTAAGGCTTTAGTCCAGTATCAGCATACAGAGTAGAAATATTGATTTAGATGTCAAATTCAATTCAAAATAATTTTTTTTGGTTTGTATATACATGTTTAAAATTAGGAAAATAAATGTTTTATATTGATTTTCTTAATAACTTGAGATAATTTGCCTAAACAATTTTATAATAGGAAAAGTTAGTTTGTGCAGTGTGATCATGATTAGGGAAAATATTGACAAGTGTAAACATCACTGACACATTTTACATAATTTACATACCATTCATTAAAAATTACTGTGTCCTATAGTAGTTGCTAGATTTGATGTATTAAACATATATGCAAAGTGACAATTACTACAGAACAAATGGTAATGGTAATATTAGCCGTTTCCTTATAAGGAAATATCTGACTTTATTGACTGAGTAGTCAGTATTGCTTTCACTTAAACTTTATAAAATCTTTCTCTTAAAACAGTTTTTTCAGGAAATAAGTTTTCCCAAGACAAGTATTTGTCATTGCTCTTTCTATTATTGATGGAGGTTTCCATCCTAACATTTTGCTTGAAGTCATGTGGAACATCAACATTTTGATTATGCCATTATTTTCTTTTTGAGTTACACATGCTACTATTTTAGTTGTTGCTGCTGTTGGTATTCCTCAAGTGATGTGGTTTCTGTTATTTGCTACAGTTCTTGGTTTGTGATTCTGTAGTGTTATTCCACAACATTCAAAGACAAATTATATTCTACATGAACCACTGTATTCACTAACTCAAAACCATTTTTAACTATACTGGTAATTCTTTTTCCAAAAATGTATTGCTGTTATTAAAACATATTTTTACACTTTTATACTATCTTGACCTCAGTTTGGGGGTTAAGTATTTGTCCATAGGAGGGACTCTAACAGATGCTAACACCCCAGGCCAGGGTGGACCTGGGAACACCAGCAATTAAGAGGTTGTTCCACACTCTTCAAAACCTCCTGATCAAAGGTCTTGCTGTTGGATTGTCATATCCAGGACAACTCATTTATGGGGGCTTACTCATCTGCAGAGGTACAGTCAGTGTATTCTGAAGCCCCAACCAACAGGGCATAAAAAGGGGTTCTATACAGTTGACAGTTCAGATAGTTCTGAATGGGTTGGCACTATGCATGGCATCCATATGAAAGTCTAGATTTGACAAGGCTATTTAAGAACATGACAAGTTTTAAGATTTGGCTTTGTAGCAATTTATCATACTGAAGGAAATTAGTACTGACACAGTTATTCAGTAATTGATTTCATTTTCTGCTGGACTAAATCTGCTATAAGTGATCCATACGATGAAGTATTTGAAATGTTTAGTATTTATTAATTGCACATCCTGAATTTTTATGATGGATTCATGGTATGTCATCATTGCTTTCCTTCCAATTCAAGATCATAGTTTAATATCTAAAAGTATAGTTTTCCTAGTAGAAATCACACTGAAATCTTTCAAAATAATTCTTTAACATTATTATCAATTTTTATTCAATTTCTACATGACACACAGAGATCATTGGCAACCTCTTTCTTTGAATATTACTTTATTGGATATCATCTAAAACCCTTTCCCTGTTTACATTTAACATTATTGTATTACAGAGTAAGTGTTGGTATAAGTACTTTTAGCTGATGTGGTCTGAGAAAATATTAGTCTACAAGATATTTCAACTTTACATATAAGACCTAGGAAATGTTTTTTAGCTATTTGGGGTGGGGATGATAAGAGTGATTTATATTACAACAAAAACAAGATGTTAAAAACTACATTCACTGTATTCTGTCAAATCTAAGAGAAATATAAAGTAATTCAAGCAAAAGAATATTCAAACTGTATTCATAACAGATTTAACTTTCTTAAAAAAAAATACAACATACCAAGTGTACAAAGTGGTCGTCTGTAGCCTGACAGGCAGCCCTCAGTGCAAACTCCGTATATGGGGTCACACATCCTGTTGACACAATGTTGGCTACATAAGTGCATGCAGCCACTGCCATAGTATGGATGTTGGCATTCTGAAATAAAATAAACACATTATTCACATATTTATATAGTAATAAAATATAGACAGCTTTATACTTTGCTATTTAATCCTTAGACTACAACAGACAGTGGTAAATATCCAAGGAACAGATATTTCACTTGTTAAAGAAAAACTGCTGGATGGCCGTAAAATGTAACAAATAGAAAAAGAAATTAAAAATAACAGATTAAATTTAAAATCATAAAACTTTAAAATCAATTGCAGATGCTGGTAATATTTATCCACAACTCATGATATTATCAGTAAGCATTTGTGGTTAACAATGAAAAAAATGGAATAAGTAAGTCAGGTTCAAATTCTGAAAGAGACGCTAATTTTGTTTTTTTTATCATTGCATTCCAAGCAAAGCAGTAAAGCCACTAAAAAAAAAAGGGGTTCTGTTTCTTTATGCGCAGGTTCCCTCAAGAAAAAGGCAATCATGGATGTCTAAAAATTTTGTCTTTTTGTTATTTCCCCTGAACCCTGTTCTGCAACTCATTTATTCAAGCTCACTAAGTATGTTATGTGTTGTTTTTATCTGTCCCTCTTGTATTCAGTCTATTCTGTAAGTATCAGATTTTCCAAACTAGCTTTCCTTATTATGTGCCCTAGAAATTTCAACTGTCTCTTTCTGATGTTAAGTATACGCTTCCTTTTGTTTTACTGAGTGTAAAAGAATATAAGAAAAAGATTATTAAGGAGAGAGAACAAAAAAAAAAAAACAGGATTTAAGAAGACAAAAGATGACAATTGGCATTGCATTCCTGCAAGAATATTTGATGCCAAGATGAAGAAGCTTCTTTTCAGCACACCTTTATATATAGTTGCCTGAAGAGTGCAAAAGAGTGAAACTTATGTAGCAACTCGAGTTGCTTCTCATTGATGTTTGAAGCTGTGAAGCATTTTTTGCTCTGTCTGGATTGAGCAATTCAATTTATTTACTGCTGCTTATGTAGGTGGTTGCCTTTTATCTTTGTTATATATATATATATATATATATATATATATATATGGGATAATGACAAAAAATTTTATATATAAAGAACAATTTTCAAGAAAAGATGTATGACAAAATAGAAAAAAGTATTCATGTGAAACTTATTCACCATTCTCTTGATGGTTCTTGAATGGGTTTTGAAGATGGAAGCTTGAATATTGGTACCATTACTGAAGGTCTGAATAATCTTTTTCCTCTCACCATTGATCAGTTGAAAAAACAGTGGGGCTGACACAAAATAATTTAACCTTTCTCACAGAATAACTCAAAGTTTTTTTCACTGATTCTTATGGCAAATGGTGTCAAGATGGCTAAATGTCTTATCTGAAAACCTGGAAAAAAGATGCTCAATTAGTTTGGTGGTATTTTAGATATTAAACATTTTGTAGGATGGACAGTTATGCTTGATTTGAACAATTTTGCTGTTACACCCAGTGTGTGTATATATATATATATATATATATATATATACACACACACTCCAATACAAACATTTCAAAGTGTTTGGGTAACAATCTGAGGACAGTGCAGAGGATTCAGAAATAGTTGGATGAGTCTAATGGTGATTATGAATTTGCGGCAGCTAGGAAAATTCACTTGGATAAGAATGGAACTCCCAAATTTGTTGGTGAGGGCATCATACTCAACACGGAGGCCTACATCAAGTGCCTTGAGGAGCTAGTGCTGCCCTGGGTCAAGAGAGTGGCTGCTGGAAGACCCTATGTCTAGCAACAGGACTAGGCACCATGCCACACAAGCAGGAGAACCCAGTCATGATTGTTAGACAATTTCTGTGAACACATCATCTCTTACACTTTTTGCAACCTAATTTCTTAGACTGCAACCCCCTTGATTATTATGTGTGGGGACAGTAGAGCAAAAGACCAAGAAAACTCTTTTTTTTAACATGAAATATGAACTGAAGGTAAGGATTATGGCAGCATTCACCAACTTGAACAAGGAGACAGTCCAGAAGTGTTGCAGGAGAATCCACAATTGTCTGGAGACTGTGGTTGAAAACAATGGGGATTTTATTGAATAAATTTACACTTTAGTATTTCAAGATATGTTTGTAGAATTTTGGTAAATATATCTGTTAAAAATGAGATGTCAGTGTTATTTTCATTTTTGTGTAATTTAGATGACAATTTATCTACTGCTCACTGTGTGTGTGTGTATATATATATATATATATATATATAAAAAGATAACACACAGTGAGTATTGGTGGTAATAAAACTGTGCTCAATAATAATAATTAATATATATATATATATATATATATATATATATATATATATATATATAACACACAAGAAAGCAAGTGACTCCATAAGTAAAATGCTTAAAAAGACAGCCCAATATTGCAATGGCAAAGCATGTTATATTAATCATAGTCTTCCCTCTACAATTTTGTAACTTATCACACTTCAAAAATATTTTTGACTTGCATTACATTTATTTTTGTCTCGGATGTTACCTGATGATGACAGGATGATCTATCAAAAGTACTAACATATTTATGGAACATACAGGACATCTAAAAACAAGGATCACATCATTCAATGAGTGTTAGTTGGTTAATACATTTAAATTTGCTTGCAAAGTGAATTTGCCATTTATTACATTAACCTTACTAATTTATTCTTTGTATGATTGCTTCATTGTAATATTAATTATACAGCACCAACCATAAATTTATATATATATATATATATATATATATATATATATAACATTATGTTTGGCAGCCAAAAGAAGAATTTTTATGAAAATGCTTAATGTAACAACTAATTTCTCGGATATGGTTTCTCTTACTTGTCTTTGTAAACTGATATTATAACACTAAAAGTAATTTGGAAAAATATACTTACATGAAAATGACATTATATGCTCCTAAATTGCCTTGCATTAAATTTCTCTTTATAATGTATTGATGGTTAAACATTTCAATCCATTGTCAACATCTACTGACCTAGTTTTTTTCATATTAGCTCAAAACTGTCACCATTACTTCTGAGCTTTACAGGAATAACATCCATTTGCTTTTTCATTGTTTTATTATATGAACAGATTTTTGTCAAGTTTTTTTAGTCAGTATTGCAGAGTCATGACTGATGTGTTTACTCAATTAAATACAGTTTTATAATATAGATACTTTAATGATTGATAACCATTTGGGGAATTTGTCTTTGAAATTAACTCTAACATAAATAATATCATGTTTTATATAATGAAATGATTTATATTAAAATAATAGGAAAGGTTAATGAAGACTTCTCTCACAATTAATTTGATGTCACTGACTCTTGTCATTTCTGTTTAGCTGAAGACCAGTGTGTACAAACTGGCAACACTTGAGTGGCATTAGGGTAGGAATGGAGGATAGCTTGATCCGACATGTCAGATTGAAGTTTCTGGTAACAGGGATGTGGTTCTACAGAAGAATGCTGAGAATACTATGAACTGAACATGTGAGCATTGAGGACGTTTTAAGGAAATGAAAACAAAAAAGACACTTGTAAGAAAGAGACAGTTAAAATTTTAAGGACACATAATAAGTAAAGCAGGCTTGGAGCATTTGACATCCACAAGACCTAATAAGGTTGTATAAATAGATAGCAGAAAGGATAGTAAAATAAAAAACATTGCTACAAAGGAGAGGAAGTAGTAGAGTGCAAAATCACTCATGTTCTGAAGGAACAATGTATATAAAAGAAAAATGGAAGACGAGAGTTACAGTTCAAGTTAACAGAAATGTGTTTCAGTTTCAATCAAATAAAAATATATTCGCAGCAGACAAGTGGTGCCCAGTTCATGCTGAGAACAGTTCAATCTTTTTCACACTATAATATTTTCAAACTAATGAACCAAAAGTAATACTCAGGCCAAAGAAATCAACTGGGATTTTCATCAATCAAATTTTACATAGATATTAGTGTTGGGTTGTTATTTTATCATGGCTCCCTACCTCTATGACCTCCAAAACAAGAATAAATATGAGGTACTAAAAAGGGAAATGAAAAGAAGGGTGTCAAAATATCTTTACTATTTTTTATTAAATGCAACAATGTTAAACAGCAATATAACATAACATAAGCATGGTTCTTACAGTCAATGAGGTTTGCATGCTACATGATTGCTACCTTTCTAGCTATGAATACCTTTGTTTCCATGGTGTTAATCTGGATGTTAGTTGTAGCATGTGTTGCTCTAACCTCTTCTCTGAACCAGATGAGTATCTAACTGTGGCAAGGGCCTTAATCCATTTCAGTTGTCCATATTGTACCAAGGACATTAACCCCCCTCACATCTTCTCGCTAGGTAGAGTGTTTTATCTAGAAAGCAATATTTGAATGTAAAGAGAAACTGTTAAATCTTTGCTTGACATAAAATTTGAAACTATTCATTGAAATAGTGATTAATAAGTGTTTATATTGTGTTCATAATTACTTACTCAATAAGGGAACGTTACACGTGACTGTAATGTTAGATGCAATTCTCACTCTATACATTAATATAAATTTGGTTAAAGGCTACTGACAAATAATTATTTTTATTTTTTACTTAATGTTTCTTGTTTTAATCGGAGTGAATAAATGTGGCCATAAGAAATGTCTGAAGTTTTTTGATCAAGTGCTTTTGAGTATTTCTTTAGCCATTATCAAGATCCAAGAATTAACAGTTCAGGTCAAAAGCTGTAATGATACAATTTATTTTGGTAATTAATTTTAGCTTGATGAGCAAGCCCTAGTCAAAACTATATATATATATATATATATATATATATATAGTGTATTTGGACACCAATTCCTCTTTTATACAAGTTTCATTAAAGAATAATAATGGGTAAAAAATAGCTGACTGTACAGTTATGCAGAAATTTTGGCCTATTATTGCATTCAGAAGAAAACTCTTGTACGAACACATGAAAAAATTAAATAAAATACTTAATTGCAGTGGCTTGTCAGTGTTTTCAAAGTATATATATATAT